GGGAGGCGGGGGGGAGGCAGGGAGGCGAGAGGGGGCAGGGAGAGGTGCAGTGGCCTTGCTTCTAGAGATTATTTATGTATTTGCTTATTGAATCCTTCCATCCTCCCACAGAGTCTTCTTCAAAATGTTCAAAACTAAACTGAGGTGGCCTTTGAGAGATTCATTTATTGCACCAGCTCTAAACCAAAATTGGGGTGAAGGGATATAAGTCTTATGATAATAGAGCTGTTTAGACATACAGAAACAGAATGTCTTGATAAGACGAGGAAGGACATGCCAAATAATACTCAAGCAGAGAAAAAGCCTAAGGAGGCTGTGTGGCCTCATCCCAGGACAGGCACAGACCTGAGGGTGAGATGCATCTTTGCTGAGAGGACGGATGCTGTGCACTGCAGTGACTCCCTCCCCAGGCCTCCTCTGCCTCATGACCTGTGAATGTAAATACTCAGTAAGAGCAGAGCAATGAGCTTCCAGCTCTGCACCGGGGTTCCTGTGGTAACCACACTTAGGGCACATAAAGATTTCTGTGGGAAGCAAATAATGCTCTACAATTTCAAAATGAAAACTTACGTGTAAAGAAAGCCCAATTTATATTCATGAATACCATTCATTTCTCAATTTGCTCCCCAGGCAAGAGATTTACACCTGGAATGGTTTCATTGGAGGTGCCCGTTTCTTTAAATTACGGTAGGCAGCAGAATGGTCCTTAAGACAGGAGGCTTTTTGGAATGTGAATCTGAGACCTGGTCCAGAAATAGACCAATAGAAATGCAATAGCAGTGACCTGAGAATGAACTAACAGTGTCTGCCCAGGACACAACACACCCAAAGGCAGAGCTGGCAGAGCTGGTGGCAACCTGCCTAGCTCGTCTATTCAAATGACAAATGTGCTCCAGTTTGTCAATTCTGAGCTGTGAAATGATCGGTTTTTCATATTTATTGAGGATTAGCAAGATAGAATGCATCTTACAAAACAGAAACAGCAACACTCTGCCCTGTAGGCTTGCCATGGAAATCATAAAGACATTAGCTATTTTTATTTCTTTTTCAGTCACGATTAATTCAATTTTCGAGTCACATGCATCATTTGTTTTCTGAAGGTAAAAAGGTTAGGAATGGACAAATGTCCCCACGCAAATAAAAGAATGCACTCTGCTAAGATTGAGGGATTATATGATTTAAAATGTCTGGATCTGATCAATCTGAAAATTTAATACTGTTTCTACTAAAATACAACAGTTATTGGATACTCTTTGTAGTTTGAGGATTATTCATTAATTTTCTGTCAAGGAAACATTTCTCTTGATACACCACAATTATGAAAAATCAGAATGTAAATTGATTAGGGAATATAAATTGGCATGATTGTGATGGACCTTATTTTAGCCAGTATTTGAATACTTTGTTACAGATCCAACCTTTTGAAATGAATGAAAGAACAAAGTAGCAAACTGTATTTTCAGTTGCCTCAGCTGCTGTTGGTTACAGAGGTGAAGATGGGGAAATGAGTAGTTAAGAGAGCAAATATCTCTAGAACAAATTAATGAGAAAGTAGCCAGTTCTTCCTGTATCCCCCAACCCACGCAAGTAATGTAATTTACATGTTGTGTTTA